AAAAAAAAAAAAAAAAAAAGAAAAGTATAAAAAAAGAAAGGGAACCTTATAAATATGAAGGATGAACAATGTGCAGCTCAAGTCTATCAGTTCTCATTGGTTCCCACCTGCATTTGAAGTCACATGATCCTGCTGCCAGCAAAACGTTGTTGGGATGCCAATCCAAGCTGAGGACTGTGGAGCGAATCGGTTTTTTAATGTGCTTGCTCACCCACCTATGAGAGGGGAAAACTGTTTCAGTTTATCCACTCAATGAGCATCCCCAAATGACCTACAAATGTATGTCAGATGAAAACACTTAAGCATGCCACTCTTTTCCTTAATTAAAAAAAAAAAAAAAAACAAAATATAAGAATCTTACTGTAATGAAATTTTTAAGTAAGAAAATGAGTTGAAACCCGAGGGATAAATATTTTCCTTAATAAAAAAAAAAAAAAAAACAAAAAACAATTCAGTATATTATCTTTTCCAGAATGGTTTCTAAGAAAAAGGTTCTATAGAAAAGTAACTGAACATTCAACATTCTTCTGTCAGTCACCAGCCCTCCTGCCACAGACAAGGCACATTTCTTTTTTGAGACCAGATTATAAGACTGGCTAATTTTTGTATTTTTTGTAGAGATGGGATTTCTCCATGTTGACCAGGTTAGTCTCAAACTCCTGGGCTCAAGTGATCCACCAGCCTCAGCCTCCCAAAGTGCTGGGATTACAGGCATGAGCCACTGCGCCCGCTGACAAGGTACATTTCTAAAGGACAGAAAAGAAAAGAACCATGAACAGGCCCTTCTCCACTCCTGGCCTTGACATTCTCAGAATAGTTGGTTTTCAGGGGTCCGCATTAGTAAGCATAGATATTGACTAACTCAGTCCTTTGTCATGAGATTCGGGATTACATATGGTGTTAACCTCTGAGATAAAAACTGGATTTTGAAATTGCTTCAGTTTTTACTATGAATATTCACTCGTTTGCTGTTCCATTTTTTGTTAATTTGGGGTTGTAAGACAGCTTAATAGCCTTCACAAGCCTCTAGGAATCTGCAAATTCTTTTTAATTTCTTTCACTGAGAAATCACAACCAAGAAATCAGAAGAACCTCACATAGGGCATTAGCCTCTAATTCTCTAGCACCATTCAAAAAAGATGATTTATGTCTACGACCAGTCAGTACTTTGGCTTAACCTAATTCAATTTCTGCCCCCAAACTGCTGTTTAAAAACCAATCATGTCTGGTTGCTCAACAGCTGACAGACTAAATATTGTGCCAAATGCCTTTCCTTGAATGCTAAATTACCTTTCTACAGAATAACTTTATTTATTTATTTTTTATTTTTACTTTTTTGAGACAGAGTCTCACTCTGTCATCCAGCCCGGAGTGCAGTGGCACAATCTTGGCTTACTACAACCTCCACCTCCTGGGTTCAAGTGAGTCTCGTGCCTCAGCCTCCCGAGTAGCTGGGATTACAGGCTTGTACCACCATGCCTGGCTAATCTTTGTACGTTTAGAAGAGATGAGGTTTCACCATGTTGGCCAGGCTGGTCTCAAACTCCTGGTCTCAAGCAATCTGTCCCCCTTAGCCTCCCAAAGTGGTAGGATTACAGTCATTAGCCACCATGCCTGGCTATAGAATCGGTTTCTTAGAAACCTATCTAAAAAAGTTCATTCTGAAAAAGACAGCCAGGTGCAGAGACTTACACCTATAAACCCAGCACCTTGGGAGACCAAGGCAGGAGGACTGCTTGAGTACAGGAATTTGAGATCATCCTGGGCAACAAAGTAAGACCCTGTCTCCACAAAAAATCAAAAAATTAGCCAGGTGTGGTGGTGCAAACCTGTAGTCCCAACTACCTGGGAGGTTGAGGTGGCAGGACTGCTGGATCCCAGGAGTCAGAGACTGCAATGAGCCGTGTTTGTTCCACTGCACTCCAGCCTGGGTGACAGAGAGAAACCCTGTCTCAAAAAATAAATAAATAGGCTGGGTGTGGTGGCTCATGCCTATAATCCCAGCACTTTCGGAGGCAGGGGGATCATGAGGTCTGGAGATCAAGACCATCCTGACCAATAAGATGAAACCTTGTCTCTATTAAAATACAAAAAATTAGCCAGTTGTGGCGTGGTGGTGTACACCTGTAGTCCCAGCTACCTGGGAGGCTGAGGCAGGAAAATTACTTGAACCCGGCAGGCGGAGATTGCAGTGAGCTAAGCTCATCACGCCACTGCACTTCGGCCTGGCAACAGAGTGAGACTCCATCTCATAAATAAATAAATAGGCCAGGCGCAGTGGCGCACGCCTGTAATCCTAGCACTCTGGGAGGCCGAGGCGGGCAGATCACCTGAGGTTGGGAGTTCAAGATCAGCCTGACCAACGTGGTGAAACCT